CCCCGCTTTTTTTTTTTTTTTGGTGTTAGGAGTCGAACTCAGAACCTTGCCCCGGCCAGGCTGGGGCGGCGCCACTGAGCTATATCCTGGCCCTGGCCGCGCACTTCTACCAGGCCGCTCACGTAGGGGCGTTAGAATGCAAGTTGCAGCCTTCCACTGTCATCACTGGTCATCTCTGTTCCTGGGAGTCTCCCTAAAGCAACCAGAGAGTGCAGTGCCTGTGTATAACGAGTTCCTGGAAGATTGCTGCCTACAGCTCTTCTCAGAAAACTTACTTTGTCTTTTAACATCTAAATGGTGTTGAGAAGGTTTCGGTGAGTTTGAGGCCGGCCTCAGCGCAATCACTAACCATGTTTTCAATTTGGCGTCTAAAAAAAAGATCGGACAGGGAAATGCAGGTGAAGTTCAGTGGTAGAGTATGTGTTCAGTGTGCAGAAAGACCTGGGTGCGATCATCAGCACTCAATAATAACAATAATTAATAATTTGATATTAAAGCAGTAGTGTTGCAGAATTTTAAGGGACCAGAGAGACCTATGAGAATCAGGAAAATTTTAAGGTTTAAGGTGAACACCGGCTCAACAGACTCCTGTCTAGAAAAAGAGCACTACAGAGAAGTTCCAGCTTTTATATATTTGATCAAAGCGGGGTGGTCTTTTTAGTGAAGTGAAACTGGGGGGCTGGGGGCAAGTGAAGTTATAGAAGCAAACAGAAAGCAAGTTAGTCACGTCTCACAAGGTAACAGTTTTGTTCCCTGTGGATTTGGGGAGAACTGTTTACAGGACATAGTTGTGAGTCTCATCTGTATCTTTTGAGGGCATATAGTTCTTTGAAAGTTATAAAGACTTCATTTACAGGAATGTAACTGTCTGCTCTATTAGTATCAGGGCAGAGGGCCCCAGTCTTGAAGGAAGGCAGATTCCTGAGAAGTCAGGTTGTCGCTGGACTCTGTTAGCTAGAATCTTGTTGTTTGCCTTCTCTGTAGCAAAACAAGGAGTTACAGCTATGGGAGGGAGTGCTGCTCAGCTTGTTTCACAAGTCCTGCTTCAGTCATCCAATTTGAGTACAAAGCAAGCAACATGTTCTTCAAAGAAAGTAAAGAACAAATTTGAGGGGAAACAATTTAAATTTTTGGTGGGGTTTTTATTGGGTTTTGCAATGCTGGGGGTCTAACCCAGAGCCTCACATGTTAGGCAAGTACTCTACCATTAAGCTACTCTCTGCCTGAGTTAAGATTTTTTTAAACCTTTGAAAGACTGCAAAATCTACATACAACTTGAGTAAGCCATAAATTGGCTGAACAACTGGAAAGGGGTAAGAAATCCATCATTACTCAGGAAGGAGGAGTCCTTAAACTCTAAATGTCCCTCAGAGGCTCGGGATCAGCTTTAGCGTCTTGTGTGTTACACACCTGCCTGGTCTCTGCCCTCCACTTTACTATGGTTTGCAGTCACTGCTTTTTTTGCTTTTTTTTTTTTAACACATGGCGGGTTAGTGGTGATCTCTGCATTGAACCTGTCTATGAGCCATTTCTCCAATAGCATGTACTCATTTCAAGTTTCTGTGTTACATTTGGTAATTCTCACACTATTCCAAAAATTTTTCATATTTTTTTCCTTTTTTTTATGCTAGTGGGGATTGAACTCAGTTTGGTACTGAGTTACATCCTCTGCCCTTTTGATTTTGAGACAGAATCTCACTAAATTGCCCAGGCTGCGTTCAAACTTGTGATCCTCCCGCCTCACTCTCTCAGAGTGCTGACATTATAGGTGGGCACCACCACTCTCAGCTT